ATTGTGATGCTGTTTGATACACATAGATACCATGCCTAGGGAGTTAGTTGGTAAGTCTCCAACGCTTTTCTGAATCGATCTTACAAGCTGACAAAGGAGAATAGGATGCCACAACTGCTCGCAGCGACGCATCAAATGTGATCAGACGCGTCCAAGATGCAACAAGTGCCTGCGCAAGGGCCTTGAATGTCCTGGCTACGGGATCAGGTACAGGTTCAACGATGGTATAGCTTCTCGTGGTAAATTCACCGGCCGTACAGTCCCAATCGACAAGCCTTCCTTTGCGCAAAGACAACAGGAGCCGCCAGCAGCTCCTGTATTATTATGGCCAGATGGGACGACAACTTCGATTCTCGAACCATGCGGTTCAGCGTCCGTACCCTGGGACTTTGACCACACAGAAATGCGTTCCGACGGAAACTTTACCCAGGTCCTTACAGAGGAAGGGGAGCATCTTCCGTTGACGGAATCATTTGCCGGAGATTCAACAGTCTTGATGCTCAGCCCTACAGTCTTTCCCGCGTGTGGCTCGATCCATAATGACGGAGCGTGTAGCAGTGATATCCCAACTTCCCTCCAGCTTATCGGCCCGCAATATCGAGAATTATTCGCACACTTTTCTTCAACGATTGCGCCGGTGATGGTGGTCTTGGACGGCAAATTCAACGGCTACCGTGATCTAATACTTCCACTCGCCTTTGAAGATCAGCTTGTTAGATCTGCAGTATGTGTCGTCGCTATGTATCACCTCGCTTACCAACGACCGGAGTTGAAATATCGCGCTGAAGCCGGATTCCAATCCCTTATATCTGAGCTCCGCTTGCGCACATCCACTCAGGCCGATCTCGTCGACATCGCTGCTTGGACCACGATAATTATCTTGTTGACAGGCGAAACAATTACGGGGGATACCAACCTCCCCTACTTATTCAAGATTCTTCTGCATCTCGCCGATGCGAACACAAGAGACGGTCGCGACAGCGTGATGCACGCGTTTCTAACGGAGCAGACTCGCATGATGACGCTCTTCGCCCAGCCTCTCTTAGGAGAGAGCTCCGGCACTCTTACTCTGAGCGCCCGACCCACTGCCTACTTTGACTTCATTTCCAACGCAGCCATTTTCCACCCCATGCTTGCGCCTCAAATAGGAATGTATAAGTCCGCCATTCATATGGCATGCAACATCTACCTGAAACGTGTCACAAGCGGTCCACCTCATTGTGAGACCGTCACGGACCTCGAGCGCCTCAAAAGGCTTTGCGAACGAATCCATCCTGCTACCCCAGGACATCATACGCTCGTATGGGTGTACTTCATTGCTGCAGCAGAGAGTTCGACACTGAAGCATCGCGACTTCTTCACGATGCGGTTGCAGGAGGTATTCTCACGCACCAGATTCCATAATATCCCGACCGCGCTCGCCGCTTTGCAGGAGTTTTGGAAGGTCCAGTCGGAAAGAAGGTGGACAGAGATCCTACCAGAGGTTATGCCTGTTTTTATTATTTGACAATATCTCTGTTGAACCCTATCTTTACTTTCAAAGCGGTTTGCTATGACCTAGAGGTGTGTGGAGATTAAAGGAGTGACAGGGTTCTCGCAATGTACGGCACCCCTAGCAAAATTTCGCCCCTTTCTATACTGAAGGACTTCTCTCCGTATTCTCTCTTGTCAGTCACAGCGCAGAATGATGGACAGAGGTTCTTTCACACTGTTCGGTATCAGACGTTCTTTTTATGTTCCCCATTGTCTACACAACGCCACGTAGAATAGTCCATTAGCAAGCATTTGAGAAAGAGAAAAAAAAGCTGCCGTTGACCAGAGAATCTTGTTACCAGGTTCACGTTGCAAGCACGACGGTCCCACATGGTCAGCAAAAGCCAGCGATGAGACGGGTCATCACGTTGCAAGCCCCATTGGCATCCCACATGGTTATGATTCGATCATTCTATTGCTTCTTCACAACCTCTGCCGAGCTCATATCGCCGCTCCTCTCAATTTTGAACGATCACAACACGACGCTGCGTTATTTTAATCAAGCACTAAAGGAGTTACCATGTTCGCACACAGATGCTTTAGGGAAACCATGACACATTTCACGCGCATTTTTCTTGGCCCCGTCCTGTTCCGAGACTTGGGGAAGTAGGATGGCAAAAGGTTACTTGTTCGCCAATAGCAAGACGGTAAATGTCACCCCCATCTTTTGCCTTGTCGAATCCCCGTTGCTCACATCTTCCCCCCTGTTCCAGTCATTGAAAGAAGTCCTCGTAATCAAGGTTGATTGGACTACAGCGTAAAATGTGAGTTTGGTCATAGTTCCATGCGAGCACTAAGGGTAATCACATCTCCACGTGGTATCGTCCACTAACGAGCCTGGAAGCGGGACGGAAGCAATAAGAAACGCCTTACAGGCACCGCGATATCACAGCTGAAGACGTTAGGGCAAATTCTACCCTGCAAGGTTAAGGAGATCTCAGAATCAATCCCGAGTGAAACATGCTTCCTGTATGGTCTCGTAAGGCCTGTAATGTCGTTGCATTCAAGGCTGGTATATCAAGCTATAGGAACTATGAGTACCTAGTAGAAAACATGGCGGCAGCATCTGACGACCTCTGTTTAGGGTTATCAATCCCACATTCCTGGTCCATGAGTCCTTATGACAGCAACTATAACTGAGTCGACCATGAGCTCCAGATAAAGGTAGACGTGGACCCTAGTGACCGGATTAAGGAGGGGATTTCTTCCGAAGGAGCGAACATTCTCTCGAACAAGTCAAAGCCGCGTTCGAATTGTCATGTTATTGTGATCGATGCTGGATTTACCCAACTACTTGCTTGACGGGATTTGGCTCTGAGGGGCGAGAAGCTGGCGTCTATCTCCCGGGAGGCTGCATCAGTAGCAATCTTGTATGACAAGGCGACAAAGTGCTTTGCCGTTTGCCCGAGGTATCCTTGGTTAACCGACGTGGGCTATTAGCATCGTCAACAGCTTCCCCTATGAAATACGCGGCGCCAGGTACTGGGACCCAGTTGAATGTCTCTTTTGGCTTGTCTGCAGGAGTCGGCAAATCTAATGTCAAATACGAAGTGACCACGGGATAAATTTCTAGAGAAGTTCACTGCGATGTACAAGATTCTAATGTGTCAACAGTACAGGGCCGGAGATATTTAAACGTTGATGGGGAAATGGGTCGTGAATTTATACCTTACCTAGTCTCGCCATTCTACAATAGATAAGTTAATCAGACAAGGTAACCGCATTCGAGCGCGTTGCGCAGATCAAGGACAAGTTGGCGGACCTGGGGATTAGCGCTCCCAATCATATCTCTTGCTCTGGAGCGAAGGGACCATAGAAAACACAGGAATTTTGAATCTGTTCTATCGGCAGGTGCCATGCAAGAGAAAGGAGATGCGTGCAAGCTGACGCATAGCACAGCACACCAGCATTTAGCAAATATATATTGGAGGATGATCTACGGTTGGGAAGCCTGAAGGTGTTGCTTTCTCACTTGGTCGAGAAGATCGACAACAAGCCAGGGTGTCAGTCGCATCCGCCGGTGACTGCACCGCTCTGAGTGTCGTACAGGTTGTCTCGACCATTCCATTGAACATGATCAAGACGACTGAGTTTCCCTTGGGCACTCGCCTGCGAAACCCAATGCCATTTGAATGGGCCATATTCGACTCCATGTCAAAGTCTACTTTGAACAAAGGTAACAGTGACTGCGGCCTTAGTTGGGATGTCTTCTATATACGCTGACAAGACAACCTTAGGTAACACACTTATGTTGTCGCCTTCGGATCTATAACGGGGACTCTACACGGTGGGGAAAACGTCGGGATAATCCCTGAGGTCTCTCTACATCTTTGGGACGGCACCGGGATCGAAAGAATCTTGTTCCATGACTGAGTTGAGAATCCGTGCGTTTCCAAAGGGATTCCCCTACGAGTATCTGAACAGCTTCCAGGACGACATGGGAATCTATGGTTTGCTAGTTCGAATAGGGCTGATGGCTGGAGAGAGTTCATCGATGCTGCCATAGGGCAAGCGCCTCGGGCAACTCACCTTTACCCGACTGAAAAGTTGGTACTTTGTGCGTCAAACGTTCTGCCCGAAATAAAAGGTTCGCAGGCTCATTCTCTGCAAAGGTTTGTGGGCTCTTCCCATTGTCTGAAGGGATATCTTATGGTCGGCTGCAATTCTAGTTGATTTAGTGATGCTGCTCGCCGCAGAATCTCAATGTACCAGGTATATCGTCGTCATCTTGCTCTGAGCATTCCGGGGCTGTGTGTACGTGCAAGAAGCCTCCATCATCCCCCCAAGAGGGAATAATCTATAACAGGTCAACCATTTTGTGGTAAACCGTCACAATACAGAAACCTTGATTCATTGTCAAATGACCAGAATTTCTATTCAAACTAAGTTCCTTCCCTGTATCCTATCAGGACACGTAGTTGGGACCTGGCGAAACGAACAGTGCAACCCCGTACCCTCCGGGTGATTCCTTGCCTTCTCTATTGAACCTTACGCTCCTCCTCGGACAGCAATCATTCCTGTAAAATAAACTCGTACATCACGACTTCCCGAGCATACCGAGAAAGTTTACAAGCTTTGCATCATGCCACCGGTATTGATCACGGGTTAAAAATCAGCTCGTTCAAATGAACTTATTTTGGTCAGCTGAAAGTGAAACGAATTCTGCGAAGGAATAAAGAGATATCAGTGAGCCTCGATTCGCAACTAGGTTCCTGAACGTTTGACAAGTTTTCCACCTTTGATCTCGCGACAGCTTCTTTGCAAAAGTAACAACTTCGGGTTTTCGCACATACGATCGGTTACCAATCAAGTTACATCAAGACATCCCATCGATTCTTAGCCCATAGCACTGATTCACTTGGTGAACTCTGGAGAACTTCAATAGGAAAGGGTTGTTGTACCCATTTCATCCACCAATCTCTGATCTACTGACCAAAGACATCTCCATCAGGTTGACTCAGTAGAAAATGTTCCGGCGAAGCCCTCTTCTAGGCGCAGCAGCAATCTACGGGGTATCAAGGGCAGGCGCAAGGCGTGGAATGCAGGTCGAGGTGGAACGACAGCAGGCAATGGAGTACGAATTTCAGCGGCGACAGGCTGCACAGGAGGCTCAGAGGAGGGAGGAAGAAAGGCGACGAGAGGAGGAGGATAAAAGGCAAGAAAAGGAATTACAAAGGGAGAAAGAGCGCATTAAGATGGAGGTCGAGCTTGAAGAAAGAGAAAAGGCAAGAGCAAAAGCTGAACAACAGTACGGCCAACAACCAGGAGGCGGTCTGCCTGCGTATGGGGGGGTCGATGTATTGTTCTGTTCCAAATGCGGGAACCAGTGCAAGGTCGGTGACAAGTTTTGCAGTGGATGCGGGATACAATTACCCCCAATAAAGCAAATGTAACTGACGAAGTCGATGATATGGTCATTTGCCCGTTTGAGGCGTCAGAAATGATGCCCAAGTCTGCAACAATGGAGTTGTCGTATTCACGCGAAGGAGATGGAGATGACCTTGGACGGGAGAACCAATCTCAAGAATATTTATATCAATTTCATCAGGAGCTTGTTACAGCAGAACAGCTATGTACAAGGCCTGAGGCTTTGCATTGTGGCCGAAGAAGATAAAGGCTCTCTCCCTCTTGCGTTCAACATGGCACCCAGTATCTTTCATTGTCAACAAGACCCTAGAACTTACATACTTAGTGTTGCATGGATTCTTTTGTGTTAGGTAGCATGCTCGCGATCTAATTGTTTGCTATAGACAACGTGGGTGTCCGTGTGAACGAGCTAGTGAGTGGGATGGTGTGAATCATGCAGCGGAGTTCAGGACAAAATTCCCGCGGGGCGCCATTGTTATCTTGCAAGTAGGTGGTCTCCCCTCGTCGCAAGATGGCTACGATTGGAGGTAGAAGCCCCGTGAAACACAGCTCGAGCATCGGAGGGATGTCATAGGTCGGTTGATGAATTAGCAAGCCGGGCAACAAAATCATCCCACTTCCCACGTGCTAAACCACCTTGGATTTGGGGTTTTGAAGTCATTATTTCTCCAGCCTGGGTTTTCATCAATTTCCCACTACTCTGCTTTAACTCATAAATTCAATCGTCTCACCAGATCTTTTACAAATTTGATCATTTCCGCACAGATGGAACCCTCACAAATGGACCCCGAAGTGGCCACGGATAGATCTCGAATTGCTATTCTCGGTGCGGGAAGCGTGGGCTCAGCAATAGCCCTCTGCCTTATCCTGAATCCTGTTGCCAGCGAAATCCTTCTAGTGGACCCAAACACCGATCAGCGAGACGCACAAGTCAAAGACCTCGAGGATACCACTACTTACCATGGTGCCGTCGGGTGTGTTGTACTGACTTGTAGCCTATGCGGTTGACTAATTTAGCTACAGGGGTGGTGGAGTAAGAATCCGATCGGCAACCCACAAAGAGGCTGGCCAATGCGATATCGTCGTTATCAGTGCCGGCGCAAAACAGAGGCATGGTGAGTTCGCAACTCGGTTCCGCCGCGCGATAGTTTGCTAAGCCGATTTTTTGAAGGTGAATCAAGGACCGATTTGCTAGGCCGTAACCTGGCCATTCTCAAGTCTGCCACAGATGATATGAAGCCATTCCGGGATGACATCGTCATCCTGCTCGTAGCAAATCCGGTGGATGTATTGACCTACTTCTGCCAGAAGTTCTCTGGGTTACCTCAAGGCCAGATTATCGGAAGTGGAACCTTCCTCGACAGTGCAAGACTGAGAGGTATTTTGGCAGCAAAAGTTGGGGTTGACGCTGGCAGCGTGGATGCCTATGTCCTTGGCGAACACGGGGAATCGCAAATGGTAGGATACCAAGGAGCAAAGATTGGATCGAGATCATGTTATTGATGACGAGCGTAGGTTGCCTGGTCTTGCGTCACCATCGGGGCTGTCCCGCTGGATCAATGTCTACCGCCAGGTACGTCCATTGACCGCAAAGCTGTTGCGATGGAAACAAAAGATAAAGCCGCAAAGATTATCGAGGCCAAAGGAGCAACAGCCTACGGCATTGGCGCCCTTAGTGCTGCCATCTGCAAGTCGATTTTATTTGACCAGCGGAATGTCCGTCCGATCTCCCACTGGGTCGATGATTTGGGATGTTGCCTGAGCTTACCGGTGGTACTTGGACGACGGGGAATAGTTAGATCCCTTAATATACCACTGAATCAAGAGGAAAGGGATCTTTTGCTCAAGAGCGCTGACACTTTGAAAAAGCTCATTCAGGAAGCAGAACAGACTCAAAAGTAGTGGAAGCTGAAGAACGAGTCGGGATTGTTCTTTAACCTTTCGTTTCCCCAAGGCCAATAATTTGACAACCCCTCCACAAATTGATAATCACTTGTTTTGTCTCAGTGGTAGCTTTCGCTTTATGACCATCCAACACCGAGACAGCCTGGACTGTTTCAAAGCACCAATTGGAGAAGTCTCCGACATCACCGTTTCGGTGGAGGTGTTGATAGAAGTCCGAAAGGGATAAGCTGCTTCGTTGACGATGGCTTCTTCTGGAATTGACAATATCTCTTTCAAGGTGTACAGAGGCTCACCGTCTGCGCAACTGCCAGACTGGGTGCTTCGATCAAATTTAGGTTGGGAGTCACTGGGTCGGATATTGAGTTGCTTGGTGAATTTATGGTGATGGAATTCAATGTTTGCGGCCATATAAAAAGACGATAAATGGTGTGTCGCTGGTTATTCCGTTGTGAGTTCCTAGTCTTTGGTTTTCGTTTTAAATTGCTCATTGACTCTCAGAGTAGCTCCTGGACGGCTCTGACTTGATAGTTCAGATAAAGCGCTTTATATTACATATCGTCTACATCTGTGGTGGATATCAGCTTGGGAGGCTATGCAGCCCTTCCTACCTACCTCTAGAATAAATATCTCCATTCAACCAATTAGGAGTATTCAAGTACGCCGGCAATATTTTGACTTTCATTATATCTACCTGAAGCTGAGGGTATTGGGAGAATCATATTTGCGAGGTAGGACAGTTTTCTAAATTTAACCTTATTAAGTTACAGTCGCAACAAAAAACTTTATTCCCATTGTATTGAATAAACTATTTCCACCCCCCCTGTTCTCGTTACCTTTGCACTAGTATTTTTTAAATATGGTATTCATTTGGGATGTTTGGAAGTTTGGAGCTGAATAATTCAAGCCTTGGTACTCCCAAGCTTTGACATCCATCCCTCGTACTCGCTCTTGGGTTCCTGGCTCTAATCGTCCCGATCCCAATGTTCTAGGAGCAGTACAAAGAATTAGTTTCCGACTTGTTCTTGAACTCGCCTAATTAAGAGAGTGTTATATTAACCTGCAGCTGATAATATCTCACTAAATACCCTAATTATGAGAGCATTGTTGCTTTTGCAGAGCCGGGACAAACTATTGGAGTATCTCGTTCGATTGCTGCGCAGGATGCCCATCATTAGGTTGTAAAAGCTAAATGACCTTGTGTCTTAGTTGATTATCGGTAAGTCATACTATTGGTTCTGGGTTCCTAGACAGAATGATCTCAGAACACGTCTTTTTCCGAGATTTACAGTACTAAAGTAACTAATTAATCCGCAATACTTAGTTATTCAAATGGAATTCGGCGCTCGTAATACCAAGCAAGCGTCTGTTCAAAGTTTCTGCATCTGTGGTTTGTGTAGAAGTCAGGTATATAGTCTGCCTTTGGAAATTCAGGTGTCGAGACATTGAAAGTTATCAGAGTGAGGTCGGTGGTGCATTGAAAGCTTATCCGGAGCATGTCAATGCAATGGTCTTGCGGTTGACGTTAGCGATCATCTTTCAGGGTTTCTTTACCTCTTCCTACCAAGATGCTCACGAATCATGTGAGGAGTTGTCTTGAACATGATCTCTTTATCGGCGTAGTAGTCGAAATATGTCGCCTTCCGCAGAAGATTCTAATTCCTTAGTTACGTGATCCCCCACTAATAAAGCATTGACGAAGGGACTTACCAGACAATGTAATTGATGGAATACTTCCAAATTAGCAGCATATTGGCCGCCTTTCTCTTCTGGGTATTTGATTGTAGTCCCCAAGGATTTCCCAACTTTAACAACCTCCATAGCCGAAATTGGAAATGGATCCGCTTTTGTCGAAGTAATGTAAGTAAATGCTCCTGCTTTGGGTCCATGGAGATGATGAATATACCTGGTGTAATTCTGTTCCATGCAGCATCAAGCTTAGGACTCGGAGGACCACGAAATTCACTATTGTCATTGAACAACTCGCCATGAAACATAACGTCTCGATAAACACCAAGAGATTTGAGTGCCGGAGCTAGACTGGTTACCAAGCCATTTCGCTTGCTTTCCATTTGGTATACATACAATATGCAGAAAGACGCTGGGAACAGTATTCATCGCTGCTGGAGACGGATATAAGAGCATAGGAATACGAAAAGAGGGCAACGCAGGCCAACAAAATATAGGCGCACAATAAGATCCATTTGCATCCTGTTCGGCCGGGTTGAGAACTGTGTCGCTTCGACCCATTCTTCTCCGCGTAGAGAAATGTCGTAAATTGTTCGTCGAAAGAAAATGGTGTGTCCATAAGGAGCTCGTTTGATTTCAACCTTGTCTCGTGATGAAGACTCAACAAAGCTCAAAAAACTTAGCGCGCGCACTTTGCGACACAAACCTTCATTTATAGTCTCTTGTGCTCTTGTCATCAGCGAAATAGAAATACCAGTGTATGTTCAGCCCACCATGACTTCCAAGGTCTGATGACCAGGTGCCAGCGCCACATCATCGCATCGTATACCCATTCGTTGGAGGCTCTGCGGATTTATTGGTGTCGATATGATAAAAGAGACACGGTCTAGAACGGAGAAGATATTCTACCTATGCAACGTAGTTTCCGGATAATAGGGTAAATATCAGCTGATACTCCATGCGAAGACTAAGAATGCATACGTAATTAGTGGAGCAACATCTAGGGTCGCATGACCCTTGGCAATCTGGGGTATTCTTGGCTCTTTCCGTCTTTCTAATTTGCTGAGATTAAGCGAACGAGGCTGCTACCACTCAACTCGCACGGGTTCACCACTGCGTAGTCCTTGCTTGCTGTGTAGGCACTTCACTCTGCAAGCTGTGTATCTTGAGCTGGAGAAACTTACGGAAGGTCAATTGTCACAACATAACTTTGCGAGCTGAGAAAACTCGCCATTAGTATTCCACTCCTCATGCGAACTCTACAACAATTCGTCACGGCCACATTCACTGCCACGAATACTGCTTGGCATTATTCACATGAGCAGCAACCGCAAAAATGAATATCAGGAATCTCTGAAAGGAAAGCAAAAAGGTATAAAGAGGTCCTGCAGTTCCCAACCTTCAGCCAGCATTTCTTCATCCAATTCCACAGTACACAATCAATCATTCCATCTCCTCCCAAGTCGAACATCTTCCAAGGGAACAAGTTTTTCCTCAAGTTCAAACATCTTATCAGTATGAAGACCAAAATTTTTATCTCTGCCCTTGCCGGCATTCTCTTTTCTCTAACATTTGCGGCTCCTTTGGCCCCTACCGAACCAAGTCACCAGGCCGACGCCCAAGAGCTCCCGTTCGCTAATGATGCTACTCCCGTGGCCAAAGAGCTTGCTCCAACTCCAGTGGGCACTTCTATCGTTAAGCGCGCCTCTGCAAACGATCCAGCATTGCACAAACCTTTCTACATTGCGGCTGCCCCCGTGGACACACCCGTTGCTAAACGGGCCGCTGGAAACGACCCAATCCTGAATCAGCCCTTCCGTATCGCCACGCCTTTGGCACACACACCCGTTGCTAAGCGAGCCGCCAATGACAACCCCACAAATCAACCGCTGCGAATCACCGCCTTGACAGATACCCCCATTGTTAGACGAGCAGTTGAGGACGGCAATAACCTTCCTCAGGACAACAGCGACATTGGCATGCATGATTCTGGGCTCTACGCCATATACTGGACTGAATCTACTGATGATGCCCGAGAGCCCGTACACGTCACCAAAAGAGATGCTATCCCGCCGGTTGCTTCTGTGGATGCAGAAAATGGTGGGGAAATGGTCGCCGGTCGGGACTCCAAGCGTGGTGATGCTCTCTTGCCATTTGCTTATGCATATGAGCAAAATGCTGCGGGAATGGCCAACCCCCCCATCTCCAGACGTGACAGTGGCCTCATGCCACTTGATTTTGCGAATGAAGAGGCTTCTAAGGAAATGACCAACAGTCACATCGCCAAACGCGATGACGCGCTCTCGCCATCTGGGTTCTATGCCATTTACTGGACTGAAGTGACTGACAAGGCCCACAATGATGCTCCTGTCGTCAAACGAGCGGCTGCCAGTTCCGACGCTGCAACTGCAGAGATTCCTGTCCCTCGCGCCCCGCCTGTCGCGAATTGAGCCTTAAAGCTTTGTTATAGGGCACAAATGTCGCAAAGGCTCAGCCTGTGGACCAACAACCCTGGAAACGCAGGATACGTCCGGCGCGGACGTAAAGCAAGGTTTTCTAGTACTGTGAACAACCGTTTGACCACGGGTATGACAACGGTTAAGGACCCAGGTTGAGAAGGGCTGGTTTCAATGGACTTCATTGATGCGGAATGATATCCATTCTTACAGCTGACCAAGGACTGCGGGATAGTAAATGTGGAAAGCAACACTCGTTGAAATTTCGAAGCTCCCTGGCTAGCCAGTTTATCAAGTTGGAAATCTTTAGCTTGTGTAGTAGTTTTCTGCAATGAAATTCACAAAATGATACGTACTTCGTCGTATACATTGCCAATTACATCTTTTGACACTTTCTTTTTGGAGTACGAAGCTCTGGAGAACAAGCAGCCGAAAAGGAAAAAGCAGTCCGAGTTTGGTACAGTGCACTAATATACTCCTTTATCAGCAAAGGCCATTCATAGGTAAAGGCAAGGGTTAAATGCGTCGATAGATATCAAAGCCAACATACCACAAATCCGTCGCGAAATGGTTTAGATTGCTACATACATGACCCGGTCTCTCTTTCCATACGCAAGATGCCTATATTGGCTTTATCGTCCCCAGGCCCATCCATTGTAGTCGAGTTACCTCTTGATGGGGATATACTGATAGTAGTAGAGTGGATGCTGCTCTTCTGAAACACGATTCCACTGGTGGTCGTCATTGCGCTGTCGAATTAGGAGTGATCTTTGCTGATATATCGCCTGCTTGGAATGGTGAACCCCGGTGAGAAGGAAGACGAAGGCAACGACAAACTCTGGGAGCGCCGACAAAACAACCGTGTACAGTACTTTTACATACATAATATTGAAGTTCTTGTTATTTACAAAAGTTGTAAGCAGGGCATAAATCAGACGAGCCATAGTGAGTGGAATCGCTGTTGCTATAGCTAAGTCCACTGTTTTTCTTCATCTTCTGCAAACAAGATATTTGCAAACGCCCTGGCGCAAAAGAAAATAGTCCCTAGGAAGCCAGCAATAAAGAGAAGCACGCCGACTTTTAGAACGATTGTCGGCTTCATGGCACCTCCAACATGTTTGGCATTTATACAGCCAATCATGCCGAAAATCATTGGGACTACGATGACAGCTTGGATATCAGGGACCTACGCAACGCAGTAGGTACAAAGGAATTGGAGTAGCTGAATGCCTTGTTCTATTCACGTAGCCCTATTGACAACGACTCAACGCTTGAGAAAAAGGAAGAGTTCTCTCTCAGCCGATTCAGGTGAGAGGAGACTCTTATAGCTTCCCCTCTTTCTGTCACGTGAAAAGGGTAAGGCAGCGTTAACCGATAGCCTTGTGCCTCAACCGTCCTTTGCCTTATCCTTTCCTTTTCTTTCTATACCGTCCACCCGATTCGGGTGGAGGGCGTAGAGTACTTGGGGACAACGGTGGGTTCGTGACATTGGAGAAGTAGGATTCCTCGAACACCTAGACAGATTTGTTGACGATGATTGATCGAAGTAATGAGCCTTGATAGGAGACCAAGTGCTGACAGGAGCAATGGCGCAAGACAAACGATGTCCAGCAACATTGTCGCTTCCAATAGACCAGGGGACGAGTTGTGATAGGTGAGCAGCTGTCATATAGCTCCAGCCACACGCACTGCGTAGAGAAGCAAAGTATAGATCCAGGGAGAGCTGCGTCCAAGTCCGTTCTGATAGCAAAAGATGAGAGAAGCAACAATGCAGGGTGAGAAGGTACATATTTGTCCTATAGAAACCCATGCACGTGAATCGAAAACATTTTGCTAGGAGTGATAAAACTGACCGATATGGCGAATATTGCTTGGATCAGAATGCCGAGTACTCTAGTGGGCATTTCCTATGCAGAGCAAATATGAACGTGTGGAGTATCACTAACGTATTATATGTACTGTTTGGAAATCAGAGTTCGTGTGACCTTCGGCTTCAAATCAAGCAGCTCACACTCATGGGGAGGAACTACAGAGGGTGATGCAGCTCCGCAATACTCTTCGCGGTCCCCGTAGTTGGCAATAACAAGTAGTCAGTGTGAAATACGCTAAGACGCTAGTAATTATGGACATAAAAGCAGCCTCCCCGACCACATAGATCTAGAATAGTCCAATACACTTTTACGCTTCATTTCACATCAGCATGGGCTTGTTGCTAATCTCTGAAGATAAAGACTGGTGGCGGCTAGCTGTTACCAGACTAGAGCGATTCTACTACGGAGGGACGCTGGGTTTGTATTGGGTATACATCAGTCGAAGCCCATTATTATTAGTTACTTCTCGCATCATTAATCAGGGATCCGAATGCCATGGGAAGGTGTGAGGTCATGATCGCTTCACAGTGTTCCTGAACAAGACTCCTGACGGCTTGTACCAGTGTGAAGAGCCGATTTTCGCTTAAGTCAGGAATTGCTAATTGGCGATCCAACCACACTCAAGCGAAATTTTGATTGAGCAAGGCTGCTGCTGAGTGAGTGGAATTTAATACGTACTACCTGGCAGCGAGATCATGAAATAATGTTGTTATTCTACGGGTCCTATCTATCTGTTCCCCTTTAGGAACCCTTTCTTGAGCTGAGAGGTATTCGCAATATGATCTTGGCGTGCTGCCTAGAGGCAAGATCGTTCCTGAATCTATCGCCAGAAAAGGTCCAAAAACCTTTCGGGCCAGATGAGGCGTGCCAAGTGGCAGCGCACTAGGCATCGCGCGGGGAGGGCCGATGCGTTCAAGCAATCGAGAATAGTGGCAGGTCAGAAGCCAGGCACCTCCATGCCTGTTGAGGCAACTTTTGTGTGACTCTCCACCAAATTGCTGGGAAGTTTCCGCAAATATCCGTTTGCTGCATTGTTTAATGCAATTTTAATACCGCCTCTGAACTGCTTGAAAGCTTCAGTCATTTGTCCTTGAAGCCGGAAGTCCGAAGAGCTTAGCTGCTCTGCTCTTGATTTCGCCTACTGCCTAGATTATGCTCTCCCAGAGGTTGCGGCAAAGAGAGTCCTGACCAAACTCGTATATATCTCGACCGTTTTCTTGAACTGTGCTCGGAGTTTAACCCAATCTTCCTCAAGATCGATTGTGAAGTAGAATTGCATATGTTGAAGGTCATAAGTCTCATTAAATAAATCTGGCTAGCATCCGAAAATTTGTTGCGAGGCAGGCGGCTCTCTCTTGGTGACGTATTTCACAGTGCTTATCGTGAGTTCGCCGAGCTTTTGTGGAGTGGTTGAAAATTCGTGATCGCCATTGTTTTCCTAAGCCTGGCTTTGGAGACGTTCTAGGAGGTCGACTTCAAGTACCCAGGTATCCAACTGTTCCTTCATTTGGATGAGAATTATGTTGCGGGTGAACATCAAACACTCTTTCAACTCTAGCAGCTGCAGGGGGAGCAGGTTTTGAGCCTTCAGAGCTGGACATATCACCTGGTACTAGCACGCTGAGGTTTCCTCCTCGTTCGGCTGTTATTCTGCCCCTTTCAGCATTCTCCTTGCGCTAGTCGGCTATGTCCTTCTTTAAAGCTTCTAGCGCAACCCGTTGTACGCCAGGTTTCCAGTGAGGAATAGACCGCCGATAGACGTCGGCGCCTTCTTCCAACGGCTTTTAGCTTGCGCTTTGATGTCCTAGCCACGTGGAAAGTCCGAATATTCCACGTATTGCTTCGTACAGACGCTTGTGCTCTGTTCAAAGCTCATATAGGTACGTTGTTCGAGTTTCTTACCTCGCGCTTCAGACAATTTGTTGGGAGATGTCCCTTTCTTGCTAGAAAATGCCTTCTTCAGAATAAAGGTTCGTTTGGTCGCATTGAGGTTCCTTAGCGCTGTGCCTTGGTAAAGCTATGGTCGACAGAAGAGCGTAACCCCTTCTTCTTGAACTAGAGTCCGTGTTTGACGACGCCCTTGAACCTTTCAGGGGCTCGGGAAGCGCTAGGTGCGGCCAATCCCCTTGACCAAAGAGTTTGGGAAGCGTTGTTCTTGGCGAGTCATCCTTCCATCGCCGGATGAAACCTGCAAGTCTCTTCAGCAGATCTGGAAGAGTGCCTCTTATATTGTGAAGCATTAGCGTCCGTTCGGAACGATGACAGTCTCAAGGAGCAATTTGGGTGAGCGGGGTCTCAAGCCCCGAGGCTTTCAACACAGGAGGGTTTCTCTGATCCCTTCTCTCGGGCTTTATCCGCAACCAGCCGGCCGTCGACATAATCTTCCAGACCATGTTGGAGTTTGTGGAGACCTGCCTTTATCCACCGGAAACCAAACCAAGGTATATTATATGCCTTGCTCTTCGTCCCTTCTAGACTTGTCCACCTCTTCTTTCCGGAACGCTGTCGCACGCGGGCTCTAGTGTCGTCATTCGCCAGTCGATGCTCATTGTTTCCACATGACGGCAGGTCATCTCCGTCTCCGCAGCTGTCGGAGCTTACTCCCCAGAGAGGTTGGCTGACCATGCTGGGCTTTGGAGGCCAAGGGCAAAAAGTCTCTCGCGCCGCTGCACTTGCTTCACACACGAGGAGACCTCCCGATTCTTCCTTGCGCCCGTAAAAATTCTTCTACTGGTACGAGGCCTGGCTGACGTTCTTTTTAACGGTGCGAATACCTCAAAAGGAAGCGATTCAAGAGGAGAGGGTCCGCGGGATGGCAGCGGCACTGATTCGGTTCAGCAACGAGGGCATTCCTCGCACAGAACCCAAGGATCGCATCCCTGGCACTCGCCAAGAGATAAACCGAGGAGGAGACAATGGGCAGAAAGATGCGATGGATTGGACTTATCACAACGTAACACTGACCAAGGAGGTTACAGTCGGACGTGGCCGACGAATGAGGTCGGAAAGAGAGTTTTGAAAGGAATTTGTTCTGGGGCATTGGGGGATTAACGGGTGGCGGGTAAGATCCAGCAATCCCGCCACTCAGCGAGCTCCGGTTCCTTGGTCGATCATGCAACAATCGTGAGTCCGGCTCGGTCGCTTCCCCAGAATCGGCCTAGCATCCCCGGCATTCGCCATGGAAGCTTGACAGAATCAAGCCAGACAAGCCCTATCAAGCCATCTATTTGCTCCTTGGCCGCCGTTGCCAAGGCTGGCGCTCAAACCATGCAAAGAAAACATCGCTCTCCCGATATCAATTACGGAGAAGAATGTAACCTGAGATGAACTCGTCCAGACACCCAGCCAATCGTCGTTACAAGTCTCTGGGAGGATCTGTATGCCCAGAACCGCCCATCATGTCGCCGTCGATAAGCGGTTACAATGCTGAATGCTACATCTCGAAGCCTGTGCGCCATATCACTCCTCGTTCAATCGCTCCTGCCAAATTGAGAAGCGTGCATTTGATCATATGGCAAGAGCTATAAAGCCATTCTCTCCGGCCCAGTCGTGCTGATCAGAAGCCCATCCTCTTTCCTATCCACTCACTTCTCAACCCTTATAAAATCATGCCTGTTGACAACCCCGAGACTATTCAGGCCGGTGGTCTAGAGTACCTCGACGCCGACCAGGGCCGTCGCGTCTCCGTCACCAAAAACGAATTTGTTCAGTCCTCTCGCCGCGACTCCGGATATGACAATGTCCCTACGGAAGGGGAGCTCCATGGCCCCAATGCTCTCCGCAGAGTCGCAGCTCCCATTCCATGGGCCGTCTACACTGTCGCCTTCGTTGAGCTTTGCGAGCGTTTCTCCTACTATGGAACTCAAGTTGTTTGTAAGGCTCCAATCACACTTACTGCTTTCCGATCGCTCACAGGGTACTAGACTCCAACTTTGTGAACCACTCGCTTCCACTCCCTGCTCCCGATGGCCCCCCAGGATCTCACCACAATACTGGTGCCGGTGGTGGTACCGATCAAGGCATTTCGGGCGCTCTTGGTCAAGGGCCGGAGACTGCCAACGGCATCAACACCT